CATGCTTTATATACACGTCTAACATTTTGAAATTACTTGATAAACATTTTGAAAACTTATATTTTTGGCTGTCTAATTTGTTCAAACACATTACACATTTTTATATATCTGAAACAAACACACATTTAACACTTTTCGAGTATACATTTAACTTATATTTTTTGGCTGTCTGATTTGTTCAAACACATTGTTCATTTTTTGTATATATAATAAACATTTTTTATACATGTAAATAACATTTTTAAAATGCTTGGTTAACCCTTTTTTAATACATGGTCAATATTTTTTAAATTCTTTCATATACTTGACTAACATTTCTTAATACAAGATTAACATTTTTAATAAAAGGTCTATAGTTTTTCCTATAAACATTTTCAAATGCTCGATGAACATTTTTAATCTTGATGAACATTTTTGTAGTACATGGTCACCATTTTTTCAGTAAGCATTTTTAATTTTTTCAATTGCTTGATTAACATTTTTGGACACAAGATTAGCATTTTTGAATACATGGTCGAAGTGATTTTCTATATGCATTTTCAACATTTTCAAATGTTTGATTAACATATGTAAAATACAAGTTTGACATTTTTAATACATGGTCAACCATTTTTTCTATACGCATTTAACATTTTTCAAATGCTTCGTTAACATTTTTGAAATACTTATTTAACATTTTTTTCAAATGCTTGATTACAATTCTGAAATACATGACCAACTTTATTCACACACTTTGTATATTTTTTTCTATACATGGGAAACATTTTCTTTATGCACATTAAGTATTTTTTAAATGCTTGATTAACATTTGTTTGGAATACTTCATGTAAACTGTTTTTATGTTACATTTATCTAGAACATTTGAAAGTATAAATGAAAGTAAAACAATAAAGAAAGAAAAAATAAAGAGAAAAACATGAAAAAAGCAAGAAATTGCGGCCGTGTCCTCTCGCATCTTGGCCGGGCCATCCTGGAAGGTGCTTGACACAAGAGCGAGTTAGGTCTCGCTATAAGCGAGACATAGCGCTGCCCAAAATACTGTCGACGCCGTCGTCGGGAGATGAGATTGGCCCGCTGTGGTAAGAATTCGCATCTTGATGAACAATAGTTTTTTTAAGGGGAAAAACTTCTGATCTATTCATTAATTGTCAAGATAGTAGAAAAAACACTAGAAGTAAAAATTACATCCAGGTCCATATACCACGTAGCGACGACTACAATCACTCGAACGAGCCGAAGGTGCTCCGCTGTCATCGCTCCTCCATCACCGGAGCTAGCAAAACTTATTGTAGGAGACAGTCGGAAAGTCGTCATACTAAGAGCATCTCTAGCAGACCCCGTAAAAGGGCCGAACCTGTATAATTCCGGAAAAGACCCTCTCCAGCGCTATTTATGCGGTTTCACCGCTTGGATACGGGTCAAACCCTATCCGCCTCCGCCGCCGCTCCGCCGATTCCCCTCCCCCTCCGCCCCAATTTCTCGCCCATGGACGGCTACGAAAGTGGTGGGGATGACGCGGAGCGCCGCCGGCGCCGCATCTCTGATGCTGCACGCAAGCGGGGGGCGCGGAAGTGGCTCAACTATTGGAGCCGGCCGCCGTCGGCGTTTGAACGCCACGAGCTCGCGGTCCGCTGCCGTGCCTCCTTCGGCTCCTCTGCCGCAGGGAGCTTGTCCGCGGACGCCTTGAGCTTGCGGCTCACTTCAGTCAACAGAGAGCCAGAGGAGCTCGGGCGAGGGATGAGGAGGAGGCCGACATGCGCCGCCATCACGAGCTCAAGATCGAGGAGATCTTCCTCGAGCAGGGCGTCACGACATCGCAGGCGCACATGTTCAAGGAGGCGGACCTGCGCGTCATGAAGGCCGAGCAGGCCAAGGTCTGGATCGACCTCAACTCCAACGAGGACTGGGCTCCTTCGGCTCCTCCGCCGCGTCGTCGCCGCCGCACCTGTCGATTTTGGTAGCCTAGGCTCGGGTACGCTGCACGGCCCGCAGATCCCCCCTTATGTAGTACTAGATGTAGTATGATGAACAACTATCTATGATGTAGTATGATGATCAACTATGTATGATGAATGTCGTTGCAAGTTTCTCACGTGAATGTTTTTTTTCAAATTTTACAGTTTCATATACGGGGTCTGATCTGCAGCGCACGAATATGCCCTGCAAATCTGATCTGTAGCGAACTGTAAACACGTTTTCTGGGTCAGAATTTTACGGGGCCTGCTAGAGATGCTCTAAGGTCCTAAAGGACCAGCGCACCAGAACAACAATAGTCGCTGCTCAAGAGAAGCGTAGATCGGAAGAATCCAACCTGTAGACACATGAATAAAAACTAGATCCAAGCAGATCCACCGAAGACAAACGCCGACCGAATCCCACGAGATCCACCGGAGACAAACCTCCACATGCCCATCGATGATGCTAGAAGCACCCCGGAATGGGGGCTAGGCGGGGAGAACTTTATTCCATTTTTAGAAAGCGGCTGCTGTTTTACTTCCCGAGCAAAACACAAACTCAAGCAAAATTAAAAAAGAAACTAAGAACGAAGTCCTCCCGCTGGCAATGACCGGGATCCGCCATGCCTTCATGGTCATAAGGCCACATCGTGGGTAGGAGCGAAGGGGTCTGTATGACTGAGGCCCTGTTTGGTTCATAAGTCCTAGGACTTTTTTTAGTCCCAACTTATAAGTACCAAGTCTCTAAAAAGTTCCTAGCTGTTTGGTTCCTGAGACTTATAAGTTCCTATAAGACCATATTACAACTATAAGTCCCTATAAGACTCTCCTTGTGAGTCTTATTTTATAAGTCCCAAATGCCCACTTTAAGTCCCTATAAGTCCCTCCTGTTTGGTTTAGACGGGACTTATAGGGACTTTTTTAAGTCCCTAAACTAATAAGTCCCTGGAAACAAACACCCTCTGATGCACAACAGTTAATGTAGCCTGATGCACATGCATACCGTGGATGCTAATCACTGCTGAAAACAAAGTTGCAACACAACCCACCCTCAAATTCCTGTCAGGTCAGCAATCTCTGAGCGAAAACAACAGAAACAATCGAAACTGTAGAATTCTACACTTGGGATTACAACTAGGGTTAAGGCTATCTGCGCTGATTCACTTCTATATATCGGTGAGAGGCTTCAGCTGCTGCTTCTCCCTGAGGAAACTGAACAAGAGAGGCATGTAGTAGAGTAGTATGTTCAGAACATTGCTTGATTTTTTTAGCGGGAACATATTTGATTCACTCTAAATTCTTATTGTAACCCATCATCCTGATCAATGTTTGCTCAACCGCATGAGTATCCGCAGTTTTAAATGTCGTGGGTATACAACAACTCTTGCCAATTGCGAAAGTTTAGAAACTTGGTTGTCCTATTTTTCCTGCCCAGTATTTGCAAAAATGCAGGTGTCGGTGTCAAAACCGACGGATCTCGGGTAGGGGGTCCCGAACTATGCGTCTAGGCGGATGGTAACAGGAGACAAGGGACACGATGTTTTTACCCAGGTTCGGGCCCTCTCGATGGAGGTAAAACCCTACTCCTGCTTGATTGATCTTGATGATATGAGTATTACAAGAGTTGATCTACCACGAGATCGGAGAGGCTAAACTCTAGAAGCTAGCCTATGGTATGATTGTTGTTCTTGGTCCTATGGACTAAACCCTCCGGTTTATATAGACACTGGAGGGGCCTAGGGATACACAGAGTCGGTTACAAGGAAGGAGATCTACATATCCGTATTGCCAAGCTTGCCTTCCATGTCAAGGAGAGTCCCATCCGGACACGGGACGAAGTCTTCAATCTTGTATCGTCATAGTCCAACAGTCCGACCAAAGGTTATAGTCCGGCTGTTCGGATACCCCCTAATCCAGGACTCCCTCAGCAGGCAAGACTTAGACATCCATTGCTTGATTTGTATGTAAATAAAAGAAAAGTAGAAAGTGACATTGTGTTGAGTTGCTTAATTAAATAGGATTCAAGCCAACCATTTGGATGTTCAGACATCATTAGCCACTAAGAACATTGCGAACCCTAACTACTTTCAATACCTTGTAGCCCTCTCGCAACATCTATTCCGATCGAGGCAGTTCTATTTGACATTGATGGCACCCTTTGTGATTCGGACCCTCTTTACCACGTCGCTTTCCAAGAAATGCTTCTTGCAGTAAATAGTTTTAAGATGCATAACATTTATTATGCTTTATTAGTTTCGCCCACAAGTGACCGGGCTAATGGATGAAACAGATTGGTACAACAATGGTGTGCTGATAGATGAGGAGTTCTTCATAAACAACATTGCTGGAAGGAGCGATGTTGAAGCTGCCCAGAATCTGTTCGGAGACTGGCCCCTCAGAAGGGGCTTAAATTCCTGGAGGACAAAGAGGTCAAATACTGAAGGTATACCGAGTGGGAGCTACTTGGTTATATGATTTTTAATGATCAATCGATGGTTCAGTTATAGTTTTTTATGGGCTCGGCTCACTATTGATGTTTTTATCCTTATCTTTCAAATGCTCTTAAGAACCACGAGTAGGTTAGTATGACCTCTTAGGATGAATATTTATGGCCAGTTGTTTGTTGCAGTTTGTCGATGTAGCGCTTAGAGCCTGTAAAAGGCCTTGTCAAGGTGGTTTAGTGGGCCAGGCTGTAATAGTTGGAGGTGAATGCCAAAAGCCAAAACCCGCCCCCTTCCCATACTTGAAGGCCCTGAAGGAGCTTGAAGTGTCTGCTGAACACACCTTTATCTTTGAGGTACACATACACTATGTTCTATTGTAATTTTTGAACATGCCATTTGATTGGCTTTTCTAATATGTCTTATTGATATGTAATGTAGGATTCTGCTTCAACACACGAGCAGGCATTGCCGCGGGAATGCCCGTCGTCGCCGTCTTGACGAGGAACCCGGAGAAGTCCCTACAGGAAGCTAGGCCCACATTGATCATCAGTGACTATGAAGACTAGAAACTGTGGAACACGCTCGAGGAGATTGATAGGGAGGAAGCGAAGCTAAAGACTGGTTGGGCCTAAAAAAGATGATGGTGATGAACAGTTGATTGACCACTGCAAATTTACCCATTCTTATTATTCATAGGGGATTCTACACCCTGAAGTTATTATGGTAGGACAGAGCTCATCTAGGTATTTTGAGCTATTAGTTTGATATATGCTTCTTTTGTTTCTCTAGTAGAGAATCAAATAAAAAACTTTAGTGCCCAACACATGAGATTTGTTCTGTTGATGGGACCTATGAAAATGGCATATCTGTAAGGCTCATTGCCTACCAGCTCTGAATTTTGACTGTTGACCACTCTGTTTGATTGAGCTTCTCTTTATTAATTTGAAAACAATATGGTAATGATGGACGTCGCAATGGGGACTGCTCCTTTAAACAGAAGTTATGGTAGCACAGATTCTACATCCTGAAGTTATGGTTTCACGGAGCTCATCCAGGCATTTCGAGCTTTTAGTTTGGTATATACATGTTTGAAACAAATAAAATATCTTTAGAGCCAATGACATGAGATTGCTGTGTTGATGGAACATACGAAAATTGCAAATCTGTTAACACCTCCAAATTCTGACTTGTTAATCTTCAGATCATTATGTTTGATTGAACTTCTCTTCATTAATTTGAAAACAGTATATGTCGATGATGGACATAGCAATGGGAACCCTTCTTTTAGAAAGCAAGTGACAAAAAAGGTAGAACCAGTCAGATGATGTATGACATGACATGACATGAGATGGATTGCCCCAAAACCTCGCCAACTAACCAAGCCTCACTGACCAACTTATCCTTACCAATTTGAACATCCCATGGCACATCATCAGGGCCAACATGGATGTGGATCCCACCTATCAGGCAGCTCACCGGCGGAAAATATCTCAAAGCTACAAAGACCGGTGTCTGCCTCGCCTTACTTGGCAGGGGCTACCTGAGCTACAACGACCAGAAAACGCTGACAAACCACTTGTGGACACCCTTGTATATTCCAGATTTTTCTACTTATTAGGTTTTCTAGATGAGAATCTTCTATTAGTTAAGAGAAAGCAACATTATTATATTCTATGAACATTTATTAAACTATTTTCTAGACACGTGCATTATAGAAGCCTCTACCAAGATACTTGAATATGCTGTTAAATTGGAACATCAACGTATAATGCCACTGGAATATATTTAAGTAGCACAAATTATTCTATGGATGGAAATGATTCTTTGTGACATTTTATGCTTTCTTTGGGTTCAGAAGGAATTTGATTTAACAAATGTCCAAAATCAAAATAGATGAATACATTTTCCAGAACAAGTTATAGTTTCAACATTTGATTGTTGTGTTTATAATTATACCTGATTAAGTTGTAAACGATAAAATTTGATATTATTAGTATCAATTCAATTGTGTATTCAGTATTACTAGATAAAATAATAAAACATATACTCAATGTTATATATTAATTAGAAACAATTAAAAGTTTCAAGAAGTGAAAATATAAAAAACTAAAAATGTTTAGTATAAATGGATAACAGTTGAGTAAAGAATGTTACTTTTGGAGAACGTATGCAGGTCTTCGTTTTGTTTAATGTAGTCTTGAGTTGTAATGGATGGACAAATCAAATACGCACCCCGTCCCAAAATTCTTGTCGCAATTATAGTACAATGTTTGTTTTGCGAAAACCCACTCGTCATTTTAAAACAGTAACAAACAAGTCCCTGGCTGCTTCTTGTTTCTCTGTCCATCCCCTGCGTGTCACCAGCGGCCGACCCGTGGGATTCGGCTGTTGTGATGACGATTCTGGTGCTCGCAGCCCTCCCACCTGCAACCACCCGCCGCCGCCCATCCGCGACACAGCTCAACCTCCGGTGCTCCTCCACGCCCAGCGCCTCCTCTCGACGACCAGGCGCAGCTCCTTCTCCAAGCCCAGGCGCCGCTCCTCCAGGTATAGACACTGCTCCTCCATGACCAGGCACCGCTCCTCCATGCACTGCGCCAGATTCTCTGCTTCTCACCTGCAGATCAAGAGGAGATCAGTTAAGCAAATCAATTCATTAGTCCGGCGCCTCTGCTCTTCAGATCAAGAGGAGATCAGTTAAGCAGATCAAGATGAGTACAATATTTTTTAGAATAAACTGAGAATAATTGATCAATTGATCCGATGCTTATGCATAATAAATCAGCTGAGATGAGATACTGCTCCTTTTTACTGTCAAAACATTTGATAATAAATCGTAACGGTACCACATCAGTGTCAACTGTCAAAACAAAACGGGGACCAACAACTTGATTAATAGGAATATCAATCACAAAGGCTTTAGAGCTGAACCTGATAGTGCTTTTCAGAGAATACACAATTTTCATTATCTTTCTTTTTAACAAGCCAATGCATGATCTGATTATATTCCAGGAGAGCAGTTTCAACATGTTCAGAATAATTCTTCAGCATGAAGAAATTTGAACAGGACTACAGTTTTGTCTCTACCTAGCTTTTAGAAGCCAACAGAGTATACCAATTTCAATAAGTTTAGGATCCACCCAATTCCAAAGCTATGCTAGAGCAAGTTTGTAGGATCACTTGCATTGTGTATAGAGTATAACAGATATCTGGAACTGAATAGCAGCATAGCTCGTTCCGGCAATAAGAAAAGTTCCAGAAACACACAAAGCAACAATAGTTAAAAATAGAAGGAAAAGGCCACCATTGATACTCTATTGGCTATGTACCTTAACAGTGTCATCAACACCATTTGAGCTGATGAGGTAACAAACTAGTTATGGTCAACCCTAAATAGCAAGCAAATCAAAGGGGAACACAAAAAATTGATAGTGTATAGACCCTTGTGTTTCATGATTTGGTGATTTGCATAGACAACTCTCCCTAAGAGACAACTACTACAAAGCTAAAGCTATAGAACGAGTGTGTTCTTCAAGCATTTGTAGATAGATATATGCCTCTGAATTTGACTACTTGATAATGTCAAGAAGCCTCCATACTGTACTTTCATGAACTTCCGAATAACCCACGAAAACATCTCATTTCCTACCCCACGCAACACAAAAATAATCCTATTAATCTTCCCTAGAAATCAACTCCACAAGCAAAGAATTACTAACAGAACTAGGGGGTTGGTACCTTGATCTGAGTTCATTTTGAATTATGCAATATATTTGGATAAATATAAGTATGTATTGTTGCCACTATATAAGTTAAAAATTAAACCATTTAAAATGTATTGTTGCCACTATATAAGTTAACAATTCACCTCTTGTTAATTAAACCAAATTTTTTAATTATTTGGATTAACTTGAATTTGTTGGAATTATTTGAATTATTTGGAATTTATTTGAATTCTTTGGATTAATCGGAATAATGTGGATTATTTGGTTAAATTTGGATGACCAAATTCAGTTTACAAACTGTTCCAGAGACAAGATGGCACTGCACCCTTTTATAAGCTGTTCCAGATACAAGATGAAAAAAAATCATGGACTATTTTCTTTGATTTTAGTAGTCCAACTTCATTCCTTTCCCCAAACTACTTACTGCGTGTGGTGATCAATCTATCCATCAACCCTACAAGACACATGCACATCCTCTTTTTTATGATAGCTAGATTTCCTTTATGTGGTTCACATTCTTGAAACAAAGGTACACACACACCTCATGAATCATGATGGCAAGGCACACACACACCTTATATGACAGTTGCTAGTAATGATACCAAGAAACAACAGGGCCACCCTCTAATACAGAAATAGTGAGATAGTAGTGTTTTACCAAGAAAATTAATTCTGCCATGGCAACCAAACAATGCGCAAAGCTTATGGAGCACAACAATGAGCAAAATTTGGTTGGGTACTTTAGTACTGCACAACAATGAGCAAATTTTATTTAATTTTGAGACAGTACTAATTTCAGAGTTCAGAGTTCATGAGTGAATTTTGAGATACTACAAATCTTACTGAAATGCTGGATTTTGGTTGCCTATGTGACCTGGATGTACTAGTAATCATCTTGATTAAAACTTAACAAGGTTCATGATTCAGAAATTCCAATGGTTCAGAACTTAAATGATTCAGAACATGATTTAGTAACAAGGTTCAGAACTTAAATGTTGTGACCAACTTAAATTCAGTAACAAGGGAGAGCAAAAACCTTTTGCTGCTGTTGGAGGAGAACGGAGGAGGGCCTTGTTTCGTTAGCAGTTCGTGGGATTGGACGGCCAAGGGTGCACATCATATGCATGTGAATATCAGGAAGCAAGTGGTGCGTTGAAACAAATGGTGATGAAGTAGGGGATACACACAGAAACTTTGCAAGTCGCAACTGAAAAGGCCAGGCCACCCAAGCAACTGCAACTGTTTTGCTGCATCGCCGGACAGCAAGACAGTCACCAAATCTCCAGGCCGTGAGTACACATGACACCATGTAGATTTAGAGCATCTCCAATAGAAGATCTAGATGTCGAGGCTCCAAAATCCCTCTCTAACAGATGGTGTAGATGATTTTTTTTTACAGCGGAGATGTAAAATAGAACACCTCGCGATGTTAATATACATCTCCACCTATAAGAGATGTAAAACTGCCAACCGCCCAAGTGCCTTCATTCGGCTTCCGCGCGACCGCCTGCCGCTCGCCCAACTCTGCCGCCAGCCGATTTCAGCCAAAATCGACACCAGTGCTGCCCGCCGCGTCGCCACTTGGCCTGTCCCCCGTCGCCCGGCTCGCCGTACGAGCGCCAACTGTCCCCCGCAGCCGCAAATTCGTTTTAAACGTGATTATGACAGACTGGGCCTACTTGTCAGTACTAAAAAAGTCAGCACCGTTACTTTGACCGTTAACATGTGGGGCCCACATGTCAGTTCTATCCCCTTCCTCTTAAATTCCTCATCAAAAATGCTAGACGTACAGGCTTTTACAGGAGTTCTACAGGCTCCTTCCAAACTTTCTAAACACCCCTCCCCCTGATTTCAATGGGGTGGGCCCGTGCTGCTGCTAATGATCAATTAAAAACTGCCATATCACCCTGTAAGCTCCTCTTCCCTGTAACATCTTGTACGTGTAGCAAAGCCGATTCCTCATGGAGAGCCGTTGTTTAGAATCGATGACGCCGACGTATGCGACTGGGGCAGGAGGGCACAACTGCAAGGTGAGCAACGACTTTGAGTTCCTGCGCGCCGGATGCTCGACCGCGTTCCTACGTAGGGAGACCTAGATGGGTGCTCGGGCTGGTCCCTGATCCAGCGGTGGTGCTGCAGCACAACGGCGACCTCCCGCATGCGAGCCTGGCGACTCACGAGAGCGCAAGGCGGCAAGGGTGGCTTGGCTCCAGAGATGCGGGGCTCGGCTGGGAGGGGAAGGGTCCCTACGCTGCACACCAAGGTTGGTTTTTTGGTAATGGGACAATGGAAGCCGGTGAGAGGGCAAGACACCGGCTGTGTACGCCGGCGGTGGCCTTCATAGGACCCCAAGTAGCGCGGCCTCCCGTGTTCTACTTCTCCTCGATAATGGCGGCCGGCGCAGACGTGTCGGCCGCCACCTCGTCGATGTCTGATCAGCCGACTTCTTCCTCTGCCAGCAGGGCGCGGCTATTCATGCGTTGACGGCGGATTTGGTTGAGTGATTGAGTGAAAATTGTAAGAAATGCTTGATTTGGTTGTACGAAAATCTCAATTTGAACCACGGTTTACTTTCATTTGTTTCTCTGGTTCTGAACAGAATTTGGAATCTGGATTCTGCACTTCTATGGCAGGGAAAGAGGAAATGGAATTCTAGCTCAACAATTCTCCACGGGAACGGAAACAGGAGGCTCCACCGCGCTCAGGCTCAGCTCTGAATCTATCTTGGGAGCTCCGGCGGCGGCGTCCAACGCGGCCCAGAGCTTGGCGTCGCGGTAGTCCCTGACGACCATGGACGCGCCGGCGGCGACGACCTTGGCCTCCCGGCTCTCACTCGCGATAGCCACGACCGGCATCCCCGCGGCCACGCCGGCCTGCACGCCGACGACGGAGTCCTCGAACACCAGAGACCGCTCCGCCGACGCGCCGAGCAGGGCGAGCGCGCGGAGGTATGGGTCGGGGCAGGGCTTGGAGCGTCCCTCGCCACAGTCCTCGCCGGCGACGACGAGCTGGAAGAAGTCGGCCAGGCCGAGGATCCCGATCATGAGCTCGGCGTTGGCGCGCGGCGCGTTGGTGACTGCCGCCCGCTTCAGCCCGCGCTCCCGCGCCCACCGGCACAGCTCCGCCAGCCCGGGCACCTCCCGGAGCCCCTCGCCGGCGTACCGCGCGAAGAGGGCCTCCTTCTCGGCGAAGAAGGCGCCGAGGCGGGCCTGCGGCCAGTCCGGGAAGAGGAAGCGGCCGATCTGCTCGTTGCTGCGGCCGGCCATGTGCGCCATGCCGAACTCCGGCGTGATGGGCGCCCCGCCGTTGTAGCCCAGGCCCTGGAGGAGCTCCGAGAAGGCCCGGTGGTGGAACGGGTCGGAGACGCACATCGTGCCGTCGATGTCGAACAGCAGCGCCTCCAGCGGCGGCGCCCGGCAGATCCCATTCCCGCCGCTGCTGCAGAACGCACATAGAATTCAGTGAGAAAAGCAGAGGAAGAACTCAGAGATTTCTTACTGAGAACTAGAAAGAAAAGAAAAATCACATCTTTGGATCCATGGGGATGTTGTGTTCTTGAGGATGCTCTGCTGATCTGCAGATATGATGGATACTTTTGATGGCTATGATTATATTGGCAATGAGAGAAAGTTGGTTGGTGAGAGTGTGAGCTGACCGGCCTCTGCTCGTGAGGTTTGTTTGTGAGTGCGGTTGGTGGCAATCCATCATCATCATCTCACCAGTCCCAGCATTTGACCTTTCAGACAAGGAGCAGTTCACATTGCAACTAACTGTATACATCATTGCAATATGTTTTTTTTTTTTGCGAAAAATTGCAATATGTTTTTTCAGATTAAGAAAGATGAGTTTCATCCAACTTCAGGCCGAGATCTCTCAGCTCTCAAGGTTAAGAGGGTCGTGGTCGGTAATAAGCCCAACAATTTTGGGATTTTCTTTGGTCCCATCAACAACACAACATCTTGGGTCACCGAGACGGGAGTTATTTATTTGCCTTTTAACAACAATCTTCTCTAGTAGAAATCAAGAAAGAAAGAAGAAACAAAAGTGTATCACACTAAAAGCTCAGAGTATACAATTGTGCTTCGTACTAGCATAACATTGTGCTATACAATCTCTTTGGTCATTAAAAAGGGCAATGGATCTAATTAGTTGTTTAGTGTCAGACACGATACTTTAGGATTACCATAATATGATCATTAACCTAGCACTAGACAACCTAAACATGCTTAACATAGAGGGTTTGCGATTCTTATTGGCAATCAGAGCAGACACACCAAAACACCACACTGCAAACATCTCTGCCACTGAAACAAAAGAGAAACCAAACCCACTATGAGGAGGAGCGGGATTGGGCTGCCCCGACTTTGGTAGCGACACCTTTGGACCCCTCACATTTTCCTTTAGGATCATTCCCTCTCATGATTTACTCAATCACTTTTCGGTTAAGTGTTATTTAGTTGTGTGTTAGGTGTCAGGGTAATAAAATTTACTGTAAGATTATATGCATTCCTGAAATTGCTAAAAAAACATAATTGTGAATATAATTTTTACAATTCATGTAGTTGGTCATGTGCCGCATAAACAAATTAGAGATTAATTCGGTATTTATTTCATATAAACTCCCAACCGCATTATCTCAATTATTTGTCTATTTTACGTTTGTATATTGTCTATTGTTTTAAACACAATTTTTGATGATTTTGTATAAATAGTTCAACTTGGGAAGAGAAAACTTCTTATGTGCATATTTTCAATCTGACGGATAATTAATCCAAATTGTACGATGCTAAAGTAATTATTTAAAAAAAATACTCATACTGATATTTTATTTTTTTGAACAAAGAACAAAAAGGCAGCAAAATAAGGCACAACAATACTTAGTTCACACAAAGCAGGTTTGACATTTGGTTTGAAACAAAAAAAGTTGTCTTTTGTAAAAAAGAGAATGATTAAATAGATAACATTGCACATTTATTCTAAGTAGTGCCTACAACACTGGCTAGAAGATGATTTGTGTTGTAAGACTAGTTTTTCAAAATTTATACACTGACCTCATTAATCAGGAGTTAAGCAAGCGGTAGTTTTACATGTAGGAACATGCCACTTATATTAATATTTATATTTTATGAAATAATTAATAATCAAAACAATATATAAGTTCATTTGTTATCCATTTATACCAAACATGTTTAATTTAATATTTTACTGTGACTAAATTTTATTTTATTTTAATAAATACATCATTAAATAGAATGTAATTTGTATTTTATCTAATAATATTGAATACTAAATACTTTGATAATGCTGATATCAAAGTTTAGTGTGTGCAACTCAAACATCTATTAATCACAAACATTAAAATGTTATAGTGGAATTACAGTTTAATCTGAAAATGTATTACTTGTTAATAATTTTTAGTTTGGGCATTTGGTTAAACCAGATTTCCTCTAAATCAAAACAATTCATTTCCATCAACAGAATTTGTGCTACTTACATATTTTGTATTGTCTTCATATGCTATAGTTACTATTTTAATATATTTAAATATCTTGGCAGCCACGGCTAAAGATATTCTTTTTCAATAACATGCACGAGACTTTTGTGTTAAGCATCCCCCACCCACACACACACACATACTCTTGTAATCCAATTGACATACCCACTTCTACTTGCCTATTTCCGCAATGCAAATTCTTCTTTTTATCCAGCCAATAGACAGACATGACATTGTAGCAAACTCTTGTAAAAGAAATACCGCTTATTACGCTCCAACCACATGGTGTAACTTACCTACAATGTAAAACTGCGCATGGGAGAATCTTGGGCCAATCGCGTGACTGACCTACGGCCGCCAAACCAACAACGACGACTGCCCACACGGTGTAAAGCGATGTGACCTGTAGGGGAGTAGGATGTGATTCAGTATTTCACATGAGAATGGGCATTGAAGCAATGTATTATCCACATTTGTCGGTGCTTAACAACAGAGGATGCATACACAACGAATGTTGCAAGCTGACGCCACATTAGCCTGTCTACAGTCCATACATGGTTTCTGAGCGGTAATGGTACAATTTTTTTAGAATTTTCACCGGGGGTGTGCGTAGAGGTACCCCCACCTAAATATTTTTATAAAAACTAGGGCCAAGCCCCCTGGGGACATGATGCTTACACCGATGGTAGTTAGAGAGAAAGGGGTAGGGGACGACATTCAGACACATGTAGAAATATCACAACGGGAGAGAGCTAAACAATTGTACATTTATGGGGAGTACTTACAAGATTGATGTTAGAATTTGAGTTGTCAAATTATATTTGGAATTTAGGAGGAGGTGGGATCCACTAGTGAAAATTAGGGGTGGTGGTGGTGGTGGGAAACTTGTCCATAAGAAGCAGTCCATAGGGGATTCCATAAGTGTATACCATTGCGCATGCTAGGCTGCAAGGGCAAGAAACCAAGAGTCGACATCATCTTGCATGTATCGCTCCAGTCTACACGCGGAAGTGTAGGATCTTGGCGAAAACACTTGGGCATGAGCTGGAGGAAAGGTTGTAGACCACAGAACACTACGTCGTTCTGATGCTTCCACAAGTGTCGGCAACACACCAACATGAACGTGTCAGCCGATGTAGGGCAGTGTATCGTAGAGTAACACAACAAAAAACAAAAATTTCGGTAGTACGTACACGGCTAGGTACACTATGAAGATGCATACAAGGTTTGATTTGATCATTACCAACTCGTAGCGCAGCGGAAGGAGAGTTGGTGGAGATCGTCTGTGCAGATCTCCACAACTAAGATTTTACAACCTCCCAACCCCGAGGATGTTCTCCCTTGGATAGTCCCTCGGACAGCCCTTCGGGAGGCCCTCGGACAGAAACTCAACCAGTCCCTCGGACAACCCTTTGGGAGGCTCAGGGCCAGATCCTCGAACAAAACCTCAGATATAACCTCTAGGTATCACTGGAACTAAGATTGAAACTATGACCTCTCTACCAGGTTGCACACATCCAGTGTCAACTATCCAGCGGGCTTCGCCATCCAAAACTAGGCCCTACCAAAGACTAGACAACCTTCAACTACGAAACTATTTCATGGAGAGGAGATAGAAAGCCAGATTATTGCATGGCATGTCTATGAGAGAACTTGAGTGAAATGGAGAGCCCTCTCCACCTATATTTATAGTGTGAGGCAAGGGGGGTAGAGGCCGCTTGATAATAACAAGATGCCTATGATATATGTCCTTCATAAGGGCAAAATGGGGTGGCTAGTGGAGCTCCATGGAGGAGGTCCTTCCATGGCCGGCCACCATGTGTGCCCCCTCAAAGGTAGTCCCACCACCCCATGTCATTCGTTTGAATTTTGGGACAAAAGCCCCACAAGGTGGCTTTCCAAAAGGCCACCAAAAAGGGGTTGTACCCTAATAGTTTTACCACTATTCTGTTGGGGAACGTAGTAAATTCAAAAAAATTCCTACGCACACGCAAGATCATGGTGATGCATAGCAACGAGAGGGGAGAGTGTGATCTACATACCCTTGTAGACCGACAGCGGAAGCGTTAGCACAACGCGGTTGATGTAGTCGTACGTCTTCACGGCCCGACCGATCAAGCACCGAAACTACGGCACCTCTGAGTTTTAGCACACGTTCAGCTCGATGACGATCCCCGGACTCCGATCTAGCAAAGTGTCGGGGAAGAGTTCCGTCAGCACGACGACGTGGTGACGATCTTGATGTTCTACCGTCGCAGGGCTTCGCCTAAGCACCGCTACAATATTATCGAGGATTATGGTGGAAGGGGGCACCGCACACGGCTAAGAAAACGATCACGTGGATCAACTTGTGTGTCTAGGGGTGCCCCCTGCCCCCGTATATAAAAAGGAGCAAGGGGAGGAGGCCGGCCGGCCCTATTGGGGTGCCAAGGAGGAGTGCTCCTCCTAGTAGGAGTAGGACTCCTACTAGGAGGGGGAAAGGAAGTGGGGAGGGAGAAGGAAGGGGGGGGGGGGCGCCGCCCCCTCTCCTAGTCCAATTCGGACCAAGGGGGGAGGAGGCGCGCGGCCCACCCTGGCTTCCCTTCTCTCTCTCCACTAAGGCCCATATGGCCCATTACTTCTCCCGGGGGGTTCCGGTAACCCTCCGGTACTCTGGTTTTCTCCGAAATCACCCGGAACACTTCCGGTGTCCGAATATAGTCGTCCAATATATCAATCTTTATGTCTCGACCATTTCGAGACTGCTCGTTATGTCCGTGATCACATCCGGGACTCCGAACTAACTTCGGTACATCAAAACTCATAAACTCATAATATAACTGTCATCGAAACCTTAAGCGTGCGGACCCTACGGGTTCGAGAACAATGTAGACATGACCGAGACATGTCTCCGGTCAATAACCAATAGCAGAACCTGGATTCTCATATTGTCTCCCACATATTCTACGAAGATCTTTATCGGTTAGACCGCATAATGACATATGTTGTTCCCTTTGTCATCGATATGTTACTTGCTCGAGATTCGATCGTCGGTATCTCAATACCT